GTTAATGTTACATACGGTCTAAACTAACCCCTCCACACTCCCTCCTCTCTCCCCCCCCTTATGTTTTATCCTTCCGTTCTGTTTTCGTGTGTTACAACTCAGCATAAAGAAATGAACTATAAGCCTATACATAGCCCATTGAACGGAATGGTTTTAACGAGTAGTACATGTATGTATAATTGCTTTTACTTAACTCACTCGTTTTCTATAGGTAACTGTTAAGACGCTAAGTAACACACAATAATGGTTTTAAAACCATAGGGTATTTGTAATTTATTTATTTACTGGTTTATACCAAATACAAGGCAGGCTAATATTCAGTATCTAGAACACCCTTTGTACACTGTGAATATTTAAACCACCAAACATTCGGTAGTTCCGTAATGGCCATTTTCTACCTATCTGTGATGCATTTCCATGTACCATACAGACTTAGATCTAATCTAATTCCGTGGTTTAGCCAACACTTTTTTAATTTAGTAGCATGTAATATTAGCTACTGCAAATATATTCCAGAACAGTAGTTTACCATAAGGGATTCCAATATAATGTGAGCTATATTTAGAAAATTTGGACAGTTATTTTAAAGAAAGAATCAACGTATGTGCGTGCATTAAAGTGGAATATATAACGAGGGTAAGAACATGTATATACAAACATATGTTGATTATATCTATTCCATATTTGAAAGAGTGTTGGTCTGTTGGAAAATAATACACGATCTATCATTCAATAGTACGGTTACTGACGAATGAACATAGTCGTTACAACACAAACGTGGTAGAATATTGTGTAATGACGGTTCCTATACTCGTTCTTAGATTCTTGACCACCAAACGACAACCACGTGAGTACAGTTTCTCCGTAATGCCTGTTTTGCTTATCATTTGCTGATAACTCCATCGTCTGCTTAGTGGGTAGCGATACAAGTATTTTCGCCGTATACTGCATACAAGGCGAATTAATTAAATGTTACTTGTTGGGGTGTTTTGTGGACTAGTGTTAAATTCAAAATTATTATGTATTACATGCAAGGAGGCACGGTAGTGTATAGTGGTAGGGCGCCGGGCTCGTGATCGAAGGGTTGCGGGTTCGAGTCACGGCACGGCAATGTGTTGTATCTTTCAACAAGATACTTAACTCTGCTTGCTCCAGTCAAATCAGCTGTATAATTATTGAATGCTAGCTGTGAGCGCCGAAATGGCTTCACAGTATGTATGCTCCTCAGGGAGTTGAGAAAGATATTGGCTGGTTGTAAAGGCACTATGACCACGGATAATAATTTGTGAACAGCTTTGAGACGACCTATATAAGAACCTCGAATTATTATTATTATTAGAGTAAAGTGAGGTTGTAAGCTATTTCCTAATATTTTTTTATAAAATTTCTTTTGTCGTTGTATAGAGCGGACACAGGTGACCTTTTCTAGTCATAGCGACACGTGTCTTCTCGTACATGCTGTTATTGTTTCCTATATTGTAGTGTTGTGTAGTAGTTATTTGTCTGTCTTTTTTGTAACATCAGTGTCAACATGGCTGTCAATTTATAAAAGAGATAGACTTATACGAATTAAATTGATCATTGAAAAGAGGGAGGAGGGTGATACAATTAAACTTGTTTTCCCCGTTCATTCATCAGTGCAGTGTATATATACATGCAAGTAACACAAGCTACAGATATATACGATCAAAATAACCCCTTTCACCCCTATGTTATTTCAGTAAACCCATCCATGCATTTATCTGGACAAGTCCATTATGGTCTACAGTGGTGAAAGGGTTAAGGCGACAGTGTATCAAGAGTGATTTCCCTTTTTTGACTATTTTATACGGATTTTTGGCCGTCTTGGTGGGTGACACATTGCACTACGCTCACAAGCGTGTTGAGCTTCTCCATGTACATAAAAAATTCAAGGACAGGTTTAGTGACTAGGGCGTCCCAGTGTTGGCTCGCATAGATCACAGTAGGCCAGTCCTATTACTGTATCTGTTTCCTGCTTGTTCCCAGGGGAAAAGGAACGACAACTCTGGGAAGAGATTGAGTGACGACCGTAACCCTAGATGGCCCCGATAATCCTAGCTGGTTCTCAACAAGCAAAGCACACATCATTTATGGTTTGGCTCGAATCTGTAAATAACAACACGCTTCTAAAGACAAGCTTCTACCTAGCTACCTCGTCTCTATTTGATGGGGCAGAGGGGACAACTGTTCATACCTGTGACGTCATCAGACAGGGATAGGCAGAGACTTACAAGTGTATTAGGATAAGAAAAATGCATGGTCAGACCAGGGTTCGAACCCGTGACCCTCCAAACACTAGACGGACGCTCTGAGGGAGGCACGGTAGTCTGGTGGTAGGACGCCGGGTTCGTGACCGAAGGGTTGCGGGTTGGAGTCACGTTACGGCACTGTTGTACCCCTGGGCAAGATACTTTACTCCGCTTGTTCCAGTCCTACTCAGCTGTATATGAGTACGTGGTTGGTCAGTGCTAGAATTGTTGAATGCTAGCTGTGAGCGCCGAAATAGCAGCACCGGCTGTATGCTCCCAAGGGAGATGAGAAAGATAATGGCTGGTTGCAAAGGCCCTATAACCACGGATAATAATTTGTGAACCACTTTGAGAGGACCTACGAACTAGGTCGTGATAAAGCGGTATATAAGAACCTCGAATTATTATTATTATTATAACCAAATGAGCTACCCGGTCTAGTACCGCTATATTCCTCCCTCCTTTAACAACGTCTTCGAACCCGAAGACACACGAGACCCTATTCCACCTTCCGTTGGTATATTGTACTTTGGCGCCAAATGTAGAAGGATAGGGAATATGAAAGGCCAGACCGGTGTTCGAAACCGGGAACCCCCGAACTCTCTTAGACGGACGCTCTTACCAATTGAGCTACTAGGGCCTGTTTGTGTTTGCGGAACAATCGGTTTGTCTGTTTATAAATTTAACATTTTCGTGTATAAATCCTGGCGGTCCTTGCAAATGTTCATGAAGGCGTTGCAAGGCTTGGTCAAGTCTTGCCTGAAACAAATCAGCTTCAGATTACTGGGTCCGACCTTATTCCATTAACGAACAACTCTGGTCAAACCGATCCAACCGTTTGGATCGTGATAAATGAAAGCGGCCCAGTGGTCGTCGACACTTGTAAACAACAAGGAGTTGCGTACAGTGTTTTGGTCGATTAAGGAAGGAGAACAAAGCGCGGTACACATTGGAAGACTACAAAGAGGAGGAAGAGACTTTAGAATGATGTATCCTCATAAGCAGGGAGGTTATATCTGTCCTGCCCTTGTAGCGGGTCAACGAATAGCTCCCTTCATGTAGCTTATCTGATGTGTTGCCAGGTTAAGCACAGTTATTGACGACACCACCCAGTCTATTTTAACAACTGACTTCCCTCCATGGCTTTGCCTGAAGTTTATCTTCCATCTCATTTCCATAGCAATATGTTGGTCTATTCAAAACGCTATACAACTAACCATGCCACTTATAGTATTTCGTATCGTATGACGTGATTTCATTTAGCGTGTTTTTAACGACCATTAATTGGCTTTAATGATCTGTCTTGTGTCGATGGGCCAATAAGAATGTGAACGATAACAACTATTTTTTTTTATATATTTTTTGATTTTTTGATTTTTTGATTTTTTTTTCAACAGTACATTAAACATAACACATCATATTTCAGTCGCACATTCTTAATTTTCACATAAGTTTTTTGTTTGTCTTGACATTTTTTTAACATTCTTATATTATTACATCGATTTGGGTACCAATGCAGAAAAACAATTATTTTCTTTATAAGTTTGAAACAAGGTACATAAAATAATAGTATATGCATTGTAGTTGAGAAGCAAACAAATACAAAAAAAACCAGAAAAAAACCCAGTTTGACTATTTCCACATTGAGAAACCAGGATATTAGGTGTTATGTACCATTGTACTGTTTTAGAAGAAGATATAGGAAAGAAAAGAGTAATAAAGAGAGAGAGGATTTGACAAGGGCTTATTGTTCGATATTGTGTAAATTTTTGTACATAGACTACTTTAACAGGAATTACATTGGTACTATATTATCATAATTAATTTACATTTCAGTTATATGATCTGCAGTAATCTTTACCATTTTTTCCATTCCCTTTTTAAATTAGTGAGATAATTTTCAGCAATGTATTTTTGAGTATTGTAAAAATCTTTAATTACGTTTTTCAAAGCTAAAACTGATAGACCAGTTTGCAGACATCTAGCCTTACAAATATATAGTTTAATGATAAGAAGTAATAAATTATCAACATTGTTTTTTTTCTATCATAGAAACCAAACATAAAAGATTCTTTATTAAAAGCAAATGGAATTAATAACACATCTAGCAATGATTTAAAATTTGTTAAAAACACTTGTACTTCTTTACATTCCCATAATGCATGAACTATAGTTTCTGTGTCAGTTTTACATTGAAAACAATATGGACTATTAACAAGACCTATTTTATAAAGATATGAATTAATAGTTAAAATATATTGATTGATTCTAAATTGAAGCCACTGTAGTTTTGTATTTTTACCAATTTTGAAGGGAATGGTATAGATTTTCTTCCATATCTCTGTGTTAAATTCAAATATTTCCTCCCACTTCCTTCTTCTGGTAGATATTGTATTATTTTGGCATAGAACATGGTAAAAGTTTTTAGTTCCTTTTTTGTGTTTAAGAAAAAAATCCAAATTAATTGGGATATATGGATAATCTACATTCAAATTAGAAACATCCTCATGTGAAATGGATTTCTTTATTGAATTAATGACACCTTGTTAAGTGAGAAAATTTGTATGAATGTCAAATTTCTCTGTAAACTCTTGATGGCTGTAAAACAATTTATTTCTTCTTTCTTTAATTAAGTCATAAACTATTGTTACCCCTTTCGTATACCATTCCCTATAAAATGTACTCTTGTTTTGTATTTTTATTGATTTATTATACCAAATGGGTGATTTGAGAATATTTACCTTTTTGTTTCCAAAATTTACAACTTTTTCAGCTAGCTTGCACCAACTTAATAGCACATCTTTCCAAAATATTTTTTTACAACTCTTCTGGTATTTTAGCATATAATCAGTACCACACACAATTAGCTATAATATTTCTATTTCCATATAATTAAAAAAAATATGCCACTTTCCTTCTGTTGTATATAGTCTCCTAATCCAGGTTAATTTTAAAGATTCTATAAATGATTGTAAATGTAGCATTTTGAGTCCCCCTTCCAGATACTTCTTTATAACAATGTCTCTTTTTATTTTATCTGATTTGCTGTTCCATAAACAAATATAAAGTTCAGTATTCAGTTTTTTAATAAAGCATTCTTCTGGATTTGGTAAAGAAATAAAAAGATGATCAAACTGTGATATAGGAAGGGACTTTATGATATTAATTTTTCCTATTGGTGTTAAAATCCTTCTATTCCATATTTTAATTAATGCCTTGAGCTTTACTATTTTTTTTATCGTAGTTTAGTTTTGGAATTTGGTGCAAGTCCACATTAAATTCAATGCCAAAAAACTGTAAATTTTGTGATTCCCCATTGTAAGTTCCACTCTGAAAAGTTAGTATCATTACTATATTTTTTACTGCCAATCCAAACAACTTGTGTTTTACTTTTATTTACTTTTAATCCAGAATTTTTGCAAAGCTGTTTAATTCATTAAATGATTCTTTCATAGATCTTTTTGTACCATCTAATATAATTGAGGTATGATCTGCATACTGAGATAATAAAATAGGAACATTATGTACATTAATACCTTTGATATTCTTATTAAGTCTAAATCTTATAGCAAGTACTTCGACACATAAAATAAATATATAAGGTGCGATTAGATCGCCCTGCCGACAGCCCCTCTTTATTTCGAAAAAACTTGAAAGATGTCCTCCCTGATTAATAGTAGAGATTGCATTAGTATGTAAAATTGTTATCCACCTACATATATTATTCCCAAAATTGAAAAAAAAAAACTGTGTTTATAAAATCCCAACTAACAGAGTCAAAAGCCTTTTCAAAGTCTATTATTAAAAGCATACCAGGAATTTCATTTTCTTCTGCATACTGCATGATATCATAAATTAGCCTTGTATTTTCCCCTATATACCTCCCTGCAATAAAACCAGTCTGATCCCTATTTGTTAACTTATCTAAAACTGTTTTTATTCTACCTGCTATTGAACCCGATGCTATTTCATATATTATGTTTAGTAATGAAATTGGCATACAATTTTTAAAAAACTGCCTGGGTTTGTCTCCCTTGGGTAGTCATGTAATTATACCCTGTCTTTGAGTTATAGATAATTTTCCATTCATAAATCCGTAATTGATAGACCTTATTATAAAATTACTTAATTTCCTCCAGAAACATTTTAAAAAAAATCATCTGTAAAACCATCTGACCCAGGACTTTTATTGTTTTTCATATTTTTAAAGTAGTTGAGGCTTCGTCTAATGAAATGTTACCCTCTAATAATGATGATTCTGTTTTATCTAGTTTAGGAACATTATTGTTATAGGTATTTAAAAATGCATCTAGATTAACATCTTCAATATTACTATTATTTGAATATAAATGTTCATAAAATAATTTAACTTCATTTAAAATATCTTCCTGTTTTCTAATAATTTCCCCATTTCCTTTTTCTAACATTGGAATAATTTTCGAAGTAAAATTTCTATTTTCTAAATTGAAAAAATATTTTGTTGGTTTTTCTCCCTCTTCAACCCATTTAGCTTTTGATCGAATGATATAGCCCTTCATTTTATGTTGCCTAATTCTTTCTAATTCCTTCTTTTTTTTTTCTTCTACTTGATTAAAATCTATACTGCCATGGGCTTCTAGAGAATTAATTGCTTCAATAAGATTCTTCTCTTGTATATTTTGCTGCTTTTTCTTTTAAGATGAATACGATATTGTTTTGCCCCTAATTTCAAATCATAATGTCTCTAAAAAAAAGTTGATCATTAATTTGAAATTGAATTTCATTGTCAGAGATAATATTTAGATTCTCAAAATTGTAAACAGGAAGAGCGTACTGTAATTTAACTTCAGAAATAGCAACTATTCAAACTCATATTCATAAGATTTATCGCTTTAATAGTTCCCAACAATAATTCTTCAAATACACATTTACATGTTAAGTATATCACAATATGAAATAAGAGAAAGCTGGAATGGGGTCTTATGTGGGATGTGAAGATATCACAGTTGTCTAAATTGGTGAATTATCCCTTTTATATTGACCAAAGGAGCACACTGATCATTCCGTGACCAAAGGACAGGAGAGTGTTTTGTGATAGGTATGTAACCGTCTACAGGCGAACTGTAGTACATATTATATTGATCTATGATTAAAATCTTCTCTTACAGACTGTACGAGTTGACAATGCGCTTATACCTGAAGTATGCTACACAGGCCGTCATTATGTGAGTAAAACCTACTGTTTTGGTATGACGTCATTCTGTGAGTAAAGGTTACTGCTTTAGTATGACGTTATTACGTGGAAAAATACTGCTATTTTGATATGACGGTTTTATGTGGATAAATCCTACTCTTTTGATAAAACGTCATTATAGAAGTAAATAACTACTTTGGTGTGACGTCATTATGTGAGTAAAATAACTACTTTGATGTGACGTCATTATGTGAGTAAAATAACTACTTAGGTATGACGTCATAATGTGAGTAAATCCTTCTATTTCGGTATGACGTCATAATGTGAATAAAGCCTACTTTTTTATTTGACGTCATTTTGCGGATAAAACCTGCATTTTTGGTATGAAGTCGTTATGTAAGTAAAGCCTACTATTTCGGTGTGACGTCATTTTGTGAGTAAAACCTACTTCACTTTGGTATGACGTCGATTTGCGAATAATGCCTACTATTACGATATGACGTTATTATTTTTGTAAAGCCTACTTTATCGGCATGACGTTTTTTTGCGAGTAAAGCTTACTATTTTGAAATTACGGTATTGTTCGAATTATAGTAAAAAGTGGCCATAATTGTGAAAAAGTAGACATGGGACATAAATTGTAAAAAAGTAGACATAAATTATGAATGGTGTTTCTTTTATTGGATCAAACCGTTCATGTAATAAGAAATGGGTCTGAAGATAGATGCGGTAAAAAGTAGACATACATTGTAAAACAGTAGACATAAATTATGAAGAAAGTAGACATATCTTGTGAAAAAGTAGGCATAGGACATAAATTGTGAAAAGGTAGACATAAGTTGTGAAAAAGAAGGCATTGATTGTAAAAAACAAAGACATAACTTGTAGAAAAAGTAGACAGCATTATAAAAATATAGACATAAATTGTGAAAAAGAAGGCATAACTTGTAGAAAAAGTAGACAGCATTATAAAAATATAGACATAATTTGTGGAAAACAAAAACAGAATTTGTGAAAAAAGTACACATGAGTTCTAAAAAAGTAGATATTAATTGTAAAAAAATAGAAAGAAATTGTAAAAAAGACATGAATCGTGAAAATATAGACATGAATTGTGAAAAAATAGACATTAATTGTGAAAAGTAGACATAAATTGTGAAAAAGTAGACATAACTTATAAAGATGTAGACCTAGATGGTGAGAGTCGCGTCGTCTATAATGGATCTTTGTCTTACAATAAACTGAAGATGCTAACGGTATTCAATGTTACGTAGTTATATAGAACGATCATTATCCTAAACACAAATATACAATCAATGTAATAATATACAATTTAGGACTTTTTACTTCGTGAATGCGCTGTAACATTTACCTAAGGAAGAAAGCTAGTCTCCTTCATTATTCCTTCCTCATGTTAATATATCACATCATATTCACGACGTAAAAAGTACATAACTGTTTTATCATATAACAAGGAATTGAAGTTTGGGGTATTTCCAATTGCTTTATTTAGAATGTGATAATCAACAGATTTTTGCCAAATCTGGTGATTATGACATACACGGATGAAAGTATCACAGCCGATCAGAAGCAGTTTACATATAATTTATATAATAATATTTGCTAAATATTGGAGGGATGTTTGAATTAATATGAACATTATCAACCATATATATATTGTTTCCTTCAGGGTGGTATTTGTAAACTAAATTGTCTTTTCTAAACTGCATTTTTTTTTTTTTTTTTAAATCATGAAATATAGTACATTGAAATCTTCTAAATCCGACCCTCTTAAAAACAGACCGAACCGGAGCTTAATCGGTCTAGCCTCATCATTGTAAAGACAAATTCGTGACAACTATATATGGCCTGTTAATACAACATTCCAGCTGACGCGAACCGAGAACTTGGCCTCAGGGAGATACCTGTATCTGTTTATCAAACTGTTTACGCATTGTATCAAGGGCTCTGTACGTGGGGTGTTCTCGTTTCCCCCACTTTTTATATAACAAAGGAAAATGTTGATTTAGGAAGACAATGGCAAGCCAATTATGGTCTGTTTCATACTTACTCCACAGGTAACTTACCTGTGTGAAAGTTACCTGTGCGACTTGTAGCGTTGTTGGGTAAAAATAGGGTTTTAATACTTTTTTGAGGTTCAAATATTTCTATATATAATCGATATATTTTTATACTTATACATATGTAGAGTTTACAGTCAAATATTTACATTACACTTTTAAACAGATAATATAGAATATAACAGCACTACATAAGAGTTCACAATATATTACAATTTTAAAATACATTACCAATATTCACATATTAAGAATAGTAAAGTTTAGTAATAGCAATCTCAAATTGACCCCCTCAAATGTATATCATATCTCTAATTTAAAGTCCAAGTCCAACAGCCAAGAGGCAGACGTTGTTATCTATCCCAAATGTAAGAGATGTTATCTTTATTTGATACTCATATATCATGTGAATCACGGGTGTGAAGTATGGAGTTATAGTCCTGCAGATTGAAAATATACATTTATTATTTTTGAAAACCGTATTGGGTGTCAGGAAAACAGTAACTAATGCCGTGGTGTATTTTGAACTTGGTCGNATTTTGAGGGCCTGTTACGATGAACTTTTAGAGCTTTATAACAGGAAACCAAATTGTAAAGCAAATTGGGTTTATCATCTGAGACGTGATTTGTGTACGTTGGGTTTTGGAGATGTGTGGTTGGCACAATGTGTACCAAATGAGAAATCTTTTTTATTATTATATATACAACGCATAAAGGATAGTTTTATTCAGGAAATGAGAAACATATTCGAGACATCTTCAAAATGTTTGTTGTATAAACACATTGTTGACCGTTTTGATCTACAATGGTATTTTACAAAACCGCTATTTAGAAAAAATAAATGTATTCTTGCGAAGTATAGATTGCAAGCACCACATAACCTTAATATAGAGACAGGTAGATATAATACAGTGCCTCGAAAATGTTTAACTTATTAGAAATTTAAGTAAGTACTTGATTCAGGCAACTGTTCAGAAAAATCGTATATTATGAAATATAAGCTGTATCAAAGTCTTGCTATAAACGTCTTGTTACTGTATAATGCGATTGAGATCTATGTCTTTTACTTCACAATGAGTTATAATCTCATTTCATTATATAATATATAGTACTCGTTCTACCTTCATGTTGAGGTTGTATGATTGACTTTGAAGTTTTGTTATTTCCTAGAAATTTGGTTAGATTTAGGCTTTATTTGTATTATTTCATAAAGAAGTAAATTATGCTTCATAAGAGTCCGCTAAGTTACCTTAGGAAAACCTTAAAGTTTTCCCAAACTGATGACAATTTCATAATTCATAAATATTATGTATGGAATTGAATCTATTGCATATGTTCTCGGCCATTGTACAAGATATTTGTTAAGTATTTATCTATATGTATATTTCTGTACGCCTATAATTTATGCAATGTGCATTTGGTAATAAATTGAATTGAATTGAATTAGCATAGGCCGTGATCACTTTTAGCTCACATGGATGGAAATGATAGCTTGGATAATTATAGATGTTCAATGATTTTTATGATAGTTATAAGATACTTATAACATCTAGGAATTTTGATTAATTAACTGATTAATTAGCTGTTAAACATCACACTCTTGGTCACACATTACATTCTTACATTTTGTACAAGGTAATGTAGGCATCTTATTAAATGTTACAATAATAAAGATTATTGTGGGAAACAACATGTTAACAAAGTGAAATACAATACCTGTCATGTCAGTGTCCAAAGGATAAGAACTTAAAAAACTATCCAAATAAATTATTCTGCTATTAAGAATTATACCCTCTCTCAAAGGGAGAGCAGATGACCTGGGGGATAATGGAATTTACAATTAAAGTAATTAAGGTAACTGAGTCTGATGAAGATTTTTTTTAAACTTTTAACCGTAATCCCCATTTGGGTCCCACCCCTCTAGTCCCTGGGGATGGGACAGGATCTTATTTTCTCATACCATCTAATCGCCATCTGGTATCATAATCATTCCAACCAAGTTTGAATATTTTCCTGCTGAAAATGGACAAATATACCCAACAGTGTTATTTCCTTATATAAACTATAGTAAATTTTACCCCCTCCCCAAAGGAGAACAGATGGCCCGGGAATATTGAAATTTACAATTTAAACAAAGCCCCTGATGATCTTTCCATACATGCAGAGAAATTGACTGTAGTACCTCTGAATCTGGAGAAGAAGATTTTTTAATATTGGTTAATTTTGCCTTTCGGGCCCGCCCTGGCCCCTGGGGTTGGGGTAGGAATCCCAATTTTACAATTTGATACCATCTTCCTCCAAGAGTGATTCTCACCAAGTAAGAATAATTTCCTACTGAAAATGAACAAAATATACACAAACGTGTTATTTCCTAATATAAACTATAGTAAACTTTACTCCCTCCCCAAGGGAGGACGGATGGCCCAGGGTTACTGAAATTTACAATTTAAATAGAGCCCCTAAAGATCTTTCCATCAATGCAAAAAAGGTGACTGTAGAACCTCTGAGTCTGGAGGAGAGGATTTTTAATATTGGTTAATTTTACCATTGCGACCCCACCCTGGCCCCTGGGGTTGGGGTAGGTATCCCAATTTTACATTTTTATAGCCTCATCTACCAAGGATGATTCTGACCAAGTTTGAAAAAAAATCATCCACTGGTTCTGGAGAAGAAGTCGAAAATGTAAAAAGTTTACGCACGACGGACGGCGGACGACGGACGACGACGGACGAAAAGCGATCAGAAAAGGTCACTTGAGCAAAGCTTAATAGTTATTAAATTCCCTTTGCCCAAATATGCTCTTGAACAAGTTTAGTTAAAATCCCTTAATCAGTACAGAAGGAGAAGGATCTTTAATTTTTTCCTCTATTTCCCCTAATGGGCCCCACCCATCTGCCACAAACAAGGAGGCCTACACACCTCAGTTTATACAAAATTGATTCTTTTGCCCCTAAGCATGCTTCAGACTGCATTTTGTTTAAATCCCTTCACTTGTATAGTATAGTAGAACAAAATCCTCTATTTCCCCTATACGGGCCCGACCATCTGCCCCCTTAGTGGCCACATCCTCTGTTTATACAAACTTGAGGCTCCTTTGTCCAAAGATGCTGTTAAAACAAATTTGGTCAAAATCCTGCTATTGGTTGAGAAGAAGAAGATTTTAAAAGATTTACCTATTTGGCCCCGCCCCTCTGCCCCCAGGGAGACTATACACTCCGTTTATACAAAACTGAGCACCCTTTGGCCAATGATCCTCGAGACTAAATTTGGTCAAAATCCTCTGAGCCGTTCAGGACAAGTAGCGTTTTACAGGAAAAAGTTGACGGACACCGGACGACGGACGCTGCGCCATGGTATACACTCACTTGGTGGCCCTTTGGGCCAGGTGAGCTTGTTTCAAGATGTCGATGGTTATCTCCTTTTGCAAAATCTGAAATATGCATTCAAACGCACAGGCAATACTTATCTGGTAAATTTCATCGGCAAATGAAACAGGTAACATTTGGAAGTTGCATCAAGTCCAACTTGAGTATAAATTGAAATATCAATTATTGTTCTGCATTTTTTCTGTTTCAGAATCTTCATTTGTACATCCATCTGGTATATACTGGACTCTCAACCAGCAGAACATATCGTCCATGGAAGAGATAAGGCATCTTCGTCGTCGGCACAATTGCAGTTCACGTCATCATCTAAAATTCAACGAACTTCACGGCGAACATCGCCCACCAAGAACGTTGTATTTCTCAAAGTGCACAAAGTCGGCGGATCAACGTTGATGAACTTGTTTTATCGTTATGCCGATTCTAAAAACCTTAATCTCATGGTCCCAATCGATACTGAAGGAGATCACTGGAATTACCTGGGCTTCAACACAACTTTACATCCGAAAAACATAGTTCCTCTTCCGCGCGGTGAATCATATAACATCTTGTGCAATCACGTGCTCTATGACAAACAGGCATTTTTAAAAATCATGCCAAATGATTCTGTGTATATTACCATTCTTCGAAACCCCGTTGGCCAGTTCGTCTCTGCTGCAATGTATTACAACTTCCTATCGTCATTGGAACAAGAAGCGAGAAAACATATTGGTTTACAACCGATTCCGGAACTTTTCCATGAGTATTTTACCAACAGAGATAGATATTCAAGTGTAAATTCGTATCACGTGAGAAATAAAATGTCACATGATCTTGGACTCCCGATGTCTCGATTTGATGACAAAGTGTTTATAGAACGATTTATACAAAACCTGACACGTGATTATGAGCTGGTGATGATGATGGAGTATTTCACGGAGTCAGTGATCCTGATGCGTCGCTTCCTGCTCTGGACGTTAGAGGATGTCATTTTCATCCCATTAAACGTCAATATGAGAAAGAAAAAGAAAAATGTTATGATGTATAATGATGACATAGACGCGCTATCAGAATGGAACTACGCAGACTTTCAACTGTATAAACATTTTGAACAAAGATATATGCAGCAGATTGAAGCGGAAGGGCCTTCACTGCAACAGGAAGTGACGTATTTTAATGACGTTTTAGAAAAGATCGCTGCGTTTTGTGCAAGTGATAAAGAACTATATGCAGTAACAGAATCCGAATGGTCAAAGGCATTTGATGTCTCTAAAGAACAATGTAAAATGATGACTTCCGATGCTATACCCGTTATAAAAACAGCTATACGAAAGTCACGAAAACGGTTCAACACGTGGGCAATGTCGAATGACGTTCAGGTTTTGACCTAAAAACAAGTATCACCCTTAATTGTTTTAATTTCTTTTCTTTATGCTTGTTCTTGTTAATGTTTTCGTTTTTTACTTTAGCTGGGTTGCCAGCTGACCTTGCAAGATACCGTCCCGCTCATTTATAATGCCGGTATTCATTGTGTAACTTTTTTGAGAAAGGTAACTCTTGTATGTTTAGCAGAAAAACGACCAGCACAACACTTCATAATTCTCAGGCAGATTTATAATGAAATAATTTGTTTTAGTTTAGCAAGTGTTTTGAGTCCTTTTTCCTCTGTGGTGTTGTCTTTCAAAATTAATATGTTAGACGTAATATTTCTATGTTTCAAAGTTTTAGTTCTCAGTAGTTTTTATAAACGGAAGCAGCAGAAATAGGGCCCAATACGGGGGACATATGGCTAAACGTTTGAAATACTTCTTTCTCTGTACGAATGGAGAGATTTTAACAAAATGTGGTTTAAAGTATCATTGGATAAAGTGAAATAAAATTTGTATAATGGGAGGATATACAGACAACTCTCTAAAAAATAATTCTTTGATTGGAATCGGACCAAATATGAACAACAGCATCCGTTAGCCAAGTCAAAATCAAATCAAATCAAATCAAAATTTTTATTTAGAGTCGGTACATGGTATAACAATACAACATTAGCTCTAAGGAGCTATTAAAACCGACTAACATACAGGACATACACATTGCATAATAAAACAGTTACAAAGTCAATACTTCACTCTTACATCACATTTCATTTTCAGCTAGGTTAGCACTATCATTTGTTAAAAGAATATGTACACAAGTAGCTGTTTAAAATAGCAGATATCAGTCTAAAAACATGGGGTGTAAAAGCATATTTAAAAACCTTGTGTACTTGTATGAGAGTAATAAGTGATGCTATGTTGTTGTGTGGTATATTATGTAGGTTGTTTGCATGTGACACATTTACATTGTGGTCCGTACACGCTGTTTATAAGTGTTTTGAATTGCGAAAGTGCTGTTGCTGTTCGAAAGTGGTCTGGCAGAGAATTCCATATTATTGGTGCTTCAGATCGAAAAAAGAGGTGTTTTGCCATATTTGGTTGTTCTTACTTGTGGTATGTCTGCGGTGTTGTGGTATCTAAATGAGTATGATGAGGTCACGCAGGTATTTGGGTGTTTGTTTGTTTGTAATTTTGTATACTTCGATTGCAAAATTTCTGAGGCGTCTAATTTTGAGGGATGGTAATTTTGAGCGGGCTAATAAAACAAGAGGATTAAATATTGCATAAACGGATGGTTAACAAAACAAAGCTTCATAGATAAAGTGTCGTTTGTAAACGGATGCTATATTGTCAAACCTTTGTTTAAAAACGGATGCTATATTGTTAAAACTTTGTTTACAAACAGATGCTATATTGTCAAACCTTTGTTTAAAAACGGATGCTATATTGTCAAACCATTGTTTAAAAACGGATGCTATATTGTTAAACCTTTGTTTAAAAACGGACGCCATAGTTAAAAACAGAATCAATATATGTTACATAGCGGGCGGCCACTATATATGTACACATATGACCACAGTGACAACGTAGAGTATCGAACGATTGTTCAAGCCAAGACAATCTGAGTTATCGCCCTTGTCATCATTCGAAGGGAAATAACTCGTTCGTGTTTGCAAGTACGAAAGTAACATATTTCAAATAGCGGCACTGAACACAGTTATACTTCTCCTTATTCAAGCGAACCGGGAGTGTAAAAACAATCAAAGTTTTAACTGTATCAAAATGCGCTCTAAGAAGCTATCAACAATGGCGTCTACAACTATATGAACTATTGTATGAAGTCTCGTTCATGTTCTGCTTAAATAAAGTAAAAAATTGTCCTAAAATATTGACATATAGTTATGGAGAATTCATGTGCCAATTTCTGAAAATAATGATATTTTGCATGAAACAGTGAAACCACAAATAGAGTAGGGGAAAACGTCACCAAAGTAAAGAGTTGGATAACAAAGTTAGATCTTCATATAAAATGAGACGGCACCATGAAAGGGAAATAACTCGTCCATGCTTACAATAGAGGTTTGGGTGTTGTTTGGAGCGAACATGGTTATATTATTTCTTCAAATAATTTACACCTACTTTATATGTTTTGACATATTGGAAATTGAATAAAGCATAACCATGTATTGATATTTCACCCAAACCTAGGTTTTCCAGTCTTTATTTATACTTCATATATCTTATGTGTTCCCGTGGAAATATGATAACTCATGACAGTTAATATTTATATTAAAAGATTTTAATATGTTATTATGTGTCAGGGAGGTGCATCGGCGGCGTGAATATGTATTCAGATATTCTGGTTTCACAGCACTCGTATGCTAGAGGGGCCCTTAGGAGGTTCCCCGTTCGTGGCCTCACTCTCGGGTTTGTTGTGATCGGGGGCCGCAGCTCTCTACCAATCAAATCCGAGTATAGGGTTCAAACGTGCGGGGCCCCTCCCATAGCGTCACTTCAGAAAATATATTCAAAGGGCTAGCCACGCGCAGTTATTTCCCACCATCCCTCCCTGGTGCATTGCATAGTATGGGAGGGTAACTTTGTAATTTGTATGAAAGCGTGTTTTATGTATATGTTAATTAAATTCATGTGTTCTTTTCGTAAGTAGATGTAGAGTAACTGTAGACAGGCATCATACTGGTTATAGTTAAATTAACTGAGCAAGCGTAGCACATCTCCACTATTGAGCGAGGAGGGAGATGTGAGCATAGCGAATTAGCGAACATGGTTACATTATTTCTTCAAATAGTTTACACCTACTTTATATGTTTTGATATATTGGAAATTTAATAAAGCATAACCATGTATTGATATTTCACCCAAACCTAGGTTTTCCAGTCTTTATTTATACTTCATATATCTTATGTGTTCCCGTGGAAATATGATAACTCATGACAGTTAATAGAGGTTCTTTTAAAGGAGTCTTAATTTAACCGGATTTATTTTAAAGCATAATAGGGGTATTCTATAAATGGTGGGAATTCAAAGACTATTTTAAAAAAATCAAAAAAATCCAGGTACTAGGACCTGTAAAACTTTTCGATTTCTTAAATGAAATTCTATGATTTTTTTAAACCAATGCAAAGAAAAAATCAGATCGAATAAGTCGACTCGTTTTTCCTTAAACCGTTGATAATTCCAACACAGAATTTGCCTTCCATTTTGACACGCCTTATCTGTAACGTGAACATTAGTTAATTTACCACAAAAAGGACAAAGGCCTGATAGTATTCATCATGTTTATTACAAAGCACTTATTGTAGGCCGCTGTTCTTCATATTACCTTAGCCAGAGAGACATGGGAATCGATAATTTGTTACAGCTAAAGTTAAACCTAAACAGATGTGTTCGGAGTAACATTAAGTTTTTTTGGACTTTGGATTGGCATTTTACCCGAACGTTTTCCTTAACCCACAACTGAGAGGTGTAATATTACTCTAAACATCGCAGTTTAAGTCTAAATACAGCTGTAACAAATTCTCAGGCCCCTGTGACCCTAGTGTATTGATTTTTTGGTTTTGTTGAGCAACATTGGGTACAGAATTTGATGATTTATTTTTATTTTTGCACGAGTTAAAAGAAATGAAAAGAGTTTACTGAATACAATTATAATATATAAGCTGTATTAATTTTACAACATTTATGAAACATGTTATTTCAACTTATATTAATAAAGCATTGAACTGTTTTTGTATGGTATTTATGATCTATTTGAATAACAAAGCTTTGCAAGCAAACAACATAATGTGAATTAATGATAAAAACAGAACGTCATATGTTTGACTCGTGGAACAGTGTAGAGGTGTATGTCTTGCGCTATTCACATTTGATAGGACGTTTACTTAAGTATTGACACAACTTTGCAAGCAAACAACTCATAATGCGCTATTGCGCATTATGTTGTTTGCTTGCAAAGCTGTGTCATTCAAAGAGATCATAAATACCATACAAAAACAGTTCAATACTTATATTTACGTTTTCTCTGCCTCTTATGTTCTTTTTTAACCTATAATTCATATTTAAAATGCCCGCCTTATCGACAGTAAAGTCCACATAATTACGTTCAATAGTTTGAACAGCGTGTTTGTCGCGTGTTGATTGGCAAACAAAGTAGTACTTTGAAATTTTAACAAACACTTCAATGTTATTCCACAATTCAGTATCAATACAATTGCGTATGATATGTCTATAGGGTGATTTAAGTTTATCAATAGAACTCTGAGCTGAAAGTTAGATTTGAAATTGTTTCGATTTTTCCGCGGAACAAATTTAGCGCATGGATAAATACAGTGAACACCGTAAATCCGACCTTGCCCTCCACGAGGGAGTTATTTTTGGAAGTTTATTCGAACTATCCAGACGTGAATTTATTTGTTGATTGTATGGGAATCTGACTACAGTCTGTAGATTCTATAACAGCATCGTAATTTGACATGTCATCAGAAACTGAGGAAACAGTGGCTGCGAGACGCGTGAAACTGATAGCGTTTGAAGTGAGTGATCTTGCGACGGAGCCCAGGGGTTCATTACAAATGTCTGAAATGTTTATGTGTGCTGTGACTCATATCAGTAGGTCTGTAACATATGTGTCAGTAGGTCTATAGAATATGTGTATTTCAGGCATTTGTAACGAACCCCTGTTGATCAGTGCAGTGTAACAGACGATATTTCTGATAAATTGCATGAGCGTTAAAATTGTTTCCGATGCCGGCATTGGTGATTTCAACCGATGTGCATTTTGTACGATATTGCAGACCTTGGTCTTGTTTTTGTTGCAATAAAATTGTTTTTTTATTTTATTTTTTATTTTGCACATAAATTAACAATGACATTGTCAAATCTCACAATGCCTAGCGTTATTTCAGCAGCCGTCATGTTTATTTACATTGGATATTGTAGATCCTTCAATGTTTTACTCGACAAAAACCATGTATGGTCATCACGTCAAGGGTGACTATGTACATCCGTGCAGTGTGGAGCCTTTGTGCGGTTAAAACTATATACAATCGGAAAAGTCTATTCCACCTCTCCCCTGACTGCCGCCTTGAAGGCGTCCAGGTCCTCGATGCTGGCGACGCTGGGTGGCAGGAGGTTCCATGTTGTGATGGTGCGGGGGATAAAAGAATGTCTGTATGCGTTGGTTGCCATATGCGGAGTGTAGAGTTTGTAGGGGTGGCTGTTCCTTGTGGTTGTGACGGTGGAGTAGGTAGGATGGTAGTTGGTTGGTACTGCTATGCGGTGGTGTAGAATCTTGTGCATAAATATGATGTCCGTTATCTTGCGTCTGTGTTCCAATGTATTCCATCTGAGGTCCTTTATCATCTGTGTAGTGCTGTCAGGTTTGTTGTAGTTGAGGGGCTTTTTTAGTACGAATCTTGCTGCGTTTTTCTGTATCTGTTCTATCCGGTCAGTGTTGTATCAATACGCTAAGAATTATGTCTCGAGCTGAATGGTAATTAAAGTCCCATCAACGACACAGCTTTCAAAGAGGCTATATAGTGACAATGCCATGCAAATGTAAATATTCACTCTTGTTGGCGCGGGTGTTAGCGCGCGGGTGTCTTCATATATATTATATACATGTTTTATCTACCTTGCTCTGTGTCACTATCTAAACCTATAAAGTCAGCTGTGATTGATGAGAAAATAAATCCGAACCGATAATGATGACGTCATTACAGTTTTGACTAGTCCGAATTATTCTGACGTTTTATCGACTTTTTGTTTATAACGGTCTGGCGTCGATTAACGCCAGACCGATATAAAAAAAGTCGATAAAACGTCAGAATAATTCGAACTCAGTTTTGACGTGATAAACATAACGATAGATATAGCTGGCCAGTACTTCCTGTTAGCTGTTCAATATATATAAAAAAAATACCTATCGCAAGTGAAGAACATAAAATTCAGATATAAAATTGTCAAAATAAATAAAACATAAATATACGATCCAGAATGGATTACAAAATGCTGGAGTCCACATACAAGGCACTGAATGGAACAGCTCCTCAGTACCTACAGAAGCGTGTTACCCTGTATCAGCCGTCACGGTCACTGCGGTCGGAGTCAGAATCTTTGTTGTGTGTCCCAAAATCTCGTACTGTGACCTACGAAAACAGATGCTTTGGGAGGGGTTCGGCTACGTTGTGGAATAGCTTACCATCTGCTATTAGAAAGTCAAATCCCCTTGCCAAAGTCAAGAGGGACATCAAAATTCACCTCACCTCTGCGTTTTAGAATCCTTGCAAAGACGTCATGTAAATACCACCCTTTTATTTGTTCAAGTATGTGCACATTGCTTACTTAAAAGTATAAAAGTGAAATTATAAGTGATTGTAAGCCTTTGTTTTTTGTTTTCACAATTATAACCAATCAATATGTTGTAAAGCGCTTTAGAGTAATTTTACAAATATATAGGGCGCTAAATAAATGTTTTATAGTATTAATGGAGTTCTATAAGTCTTTACAGGGTTGCAGACTGATATTTATAACACACTAACACGCATTATTCGATTTGTCAGCAATTCTTTATGAAGAGTTCTTTTTACCTAACCAAAATCATTTTCCATGTGACGTTTCGATGACTAGTACGATATGAACACCGTCACCTTCATGCACAATCAGGAACCGTCGGCAGTTTCCGTAAACGAGAAAATTCTCGTTTACGGAAAGTGCCGACGGTTCCCGATTGGCGTACGAGTTGTCCACAAAAATCGATGTCGATTCGGCTACGCTGTAAGTGTATGCACAATTGTTGTTATATATGTACCGAAATGACTCGATTCAGCTACGCTTCGAAACGTCACATAGAAAATTGTATTGGTTGTGTAAAAAGAACTCTTCATAATCAATACTTACCAACATGAAAAAAATATCTAGAAGTGTCAGCAATTCTGTTTCTGAATTATAGGACCATAACTCCGAAGAGAATTATTTTAAGGCTGAAATAAAGCTCGCCCAAGTAAGAAAGACAACGGGTTGTGTCCCCTGACCGGAAACACGTCACTAAACGTTGAAATTTCAGGGTAGTCATAACAACTGCTTTTACCCATTGTCAGTAAAATGTGACAACATACCGTCTCAAGCATTACGTACACACAATCATACATACAATACGCACACTGAGACAGGTCCTTAAATGACATTAGTTGTTATTAGGAGGGGCCAAACTGCCAAAAATATTAAGAAATCGTGCTCAAATGTGACGTGACGAACCCCTACTTTACTTTATGTGCTAGAAATTAGAATTTCGAAACAATTCAGAATATGTTTACTTCGATATTGACTTTCGAAATCTGTGTCTCTGTTTCTCATGTGACAGTTTCACAAATAGGAAAAACATCGCTAAATCTATATTTTACAACCGCTCTCAACATTTCAAACTATTTAAAAACAAACAAGGTCTGTTTGTTTTCATTAGAAATCTATTTCGTAAGACAAACACTCACGCGGATTAACGGAATTCCTGCCATTATTTAATTTAAATGTTTTTATTTTTAGAATTTTAATATTTAATTTTGTCTGACAATTGATCAGGATGGCGCTGAGGTATACTATAGTTAAGATGAGCTACTCTGTTTTTCCGCAGGCAATACTTTTCATTATTAGAAAAAAAATCCTCATGCACCTTTGACTTTCAATATATGCCACCAGGAAAAAGAAATTCAATGAAATGAATATTCGAATACATTTAGACTGAGCCCACAGTAAATGTGCCATGTTACTCGAACATCTTTCGCCTGTCACGTTATCTGTGGCTATATTGACACTCGGGCTTATGAAAAGACGATACGTATCCCCCCATGTATCGTACACATCGCGTAGTGTTTAGTCATAATAACTAATGCCCTGAAGTGTAAAAAGAAAGATGCCGAAGGGATGGCGGGAAGAGAGCCAAACGGCAAACCTCGGGGGACTCTGCTACGCTCTATAGTGTTGGAGGAACGAGTCACCCGAGGAATTCCGAGTGGGAGAGTGCACGTTTTTTTAGCGAGAGTAGCGAAAAATGACAACGAGTGGTGACATCTTACGGACGAGAGAGCTAGGGAAGGACAGGTCGGCAAGTGAACACTTGATATAACTTCATAAATACAAGACGATCATGAGTTTTGTATTTCGGATTCTTTTTGTGGTCCCTTTTGCTGAACTATCCCCCCCCCTTTAA